TACATACGGACAGACTATACTAATAATAATGGAGGGTCTTCCTCTCACTTCTCCTAGTAATAGACCCATCACTTCTTCTCTTTCAGTGGACATGGCGTGAGTGAGGCAGCAAAGATATGTATCACAAGTTAGCTCTACCCTAACGGCCGCCATTTTGATTCATTTATAATGACGTCATTTACCACACCTTGTTTTTATTAACCAGCCCCACCCTGATCTTCTTTCAAACGCAATGGCTACCAAAAGCAGCAGCAGCTCTCCTTCTCCTTCTCCTTCTCTCTTCACTTCTCCATTGACTATTAGTAATAATCCATTAACTGTAGTCTGTAGTATATTTATATATTATGTTTTATAGGTCAACTTATTGATGTACTTGATCTGTTAAAGAGATGTGGTTTCCCTCAGACAAGATGGCATGAGCTGGGACTGAGACTAGGACTACATAAGGATACACTGGACGCCATTGAAAAAAATTATCCCGCTGCTACATCTCGCTGCTTGATGGAATGTCTTTTCCAGTGGTTGTCTAGAGCTAATAATGTTGACAGTAAAGGAGGAGCTACCTATGGCTCACTGTCAGATGCTCTTAAATCTATGGATGAGAATGCTGCAGCTGACAAGTTAGATCAAGAGAGTAAGTTAATATCACTGATTGTATTAGTATTGACTTTGTGTATGTATTCTATATACTGGTAGAATGTATTCAGTGCTATGATAATTTTGTCTCACTTTATTGGACTCGCCACGCTTGCGTAGGTGGGTACTATGCAGTTGGGTTGTCATTCTGTCTGTCTGTCATTCTCACAAAAATTCCTGTTAATTCCTAGTCAGTATCTTTTTTACTGAGCTCTCCTGAGTTATAATTCTTTTTAAGCTTTGAGAAAAAGATAATTTATTTAGCTCCTTTGTATTTTCATAGCAATCCGTGGTAGCAAAAGCTGAATTTTTTCAAGAAAACCACTTTACCTAGCCAAATCTTCGTGTTTCACTCTATTTGGTCAAGATTAGCATTGATGGGTAGAGAAAAGTACATAGATTAAAAAATATGTGGGAATTTTCTAATCTCTTTTTTGTTTCATTGCTCAAAGTTTGTGATTTAGCCTCTTCGAAAAATTTTCAGGCAGCACTGGTGAAAGCAGGAGCAGCCAAACTATCTCAGTCTCTTTTAAATATCTAGGCAAATTTTTTGTGCTTACTCTTTCTTTGAATAGAGCTTCAGATGCTAAAATAAATTTCAGCTTTTCTTCATTCTCCTACCCACGTGCCATGTTTATCTGCACTGCACTGCTAAGTGCTGACCACATCTAAAATTTATTTTATGGATCAGTGCAGTAATTGCATTGTTGCACTTTGCACTTTGTCAAAATCTATTATCCTTTTTTCAAATATCAAGTTGCTTATATATATAATATCATGATGGGGGCAGTACAAGTAACACATTATTCCTCAGGTGAATCTCAGCAGGTGAGTCCATGCACCATGGTGCTTCATTTGGGTAGTTTTTATGGTCGATGTACCACAAAATTAAAACTACAAATTGTTCCACTAGAAGCAAATCAGAAAATATTTGACCCGCAAAAATAACCTGCTATATGGTATCAATCAGTGGTACAATATCTAATATAAACGGGAATTTTGTTTTGGTTTCATTAGTACAGGACTACGGGCTTGCTTTGTTAAAATGTTAAAATATACTCAATAATTGATTATTAAGAATATATCATAATTCATAGATTAGTATACCATATACAGCTACAATAAATAATTTTAAATAAATAAATAATATTATATTATTCTTTTGGGAAAATAAGAACTGCAGCAAAGTTTTGCTCTTTTGTCAGGTACATACAAGCCATTGACAGGAGGTCCTCCAGTATCTGAATTGATAGAGTTTCGTGAGTTATTGATCAAAGGACAACTGTCACAAATGGAGGAATCTCTGCTTGATGCTGATACTATAAGAAAAATTAGAAATGCTGTTAGTGCTGATGAAGGAATGTCTCTTTTTAGACAAGCATTTGAAGAACATCCAACACTGCTACATGAAATGAGAATAGCTACTGGAAAAATAGAAGGTAATATTTATCAGGAATTATAATAAAAGTTTTAATTTGATAAAACATTTAGTTTCATTACAAAAGACACTTAAGACTAGTCCTCCTCCACCAGTACCTAAGCTGTGCCAAAAATCACTACCTACATATACACCAGCTTCATCTCCAGTACAGAATACACAACCACCTCCTGTACCTCCAAGATATCATAAAAAACCTTCTACAGCTGAAACACTACCAACACCAAAACCAAGAAGTAACACTGGTCCATCATTATCACCACAAGCACTTGTTGCAACACCATCAGCTCTACCTTCACCAGAATACATTACAATGAGAGAGATGTTAGCTGATCTTGTGGATTTGTTAACTGGAAATGCTCCAGCTATTTCTCAGTTAAATAATCATCTCTTTTCATCTGATCTCATTCCTAAGGCAGTACATGTTACTGTTGGAACCACTGGACTCACTCCTTATGATAGAGCTAACAAAATATTCTCTTCAGTACTAGCAACACTTGAGTGTCATCCTAATCCTAACAGTGTGTTCTCTTCTCTCATTACTTCACTACAGAAAATAGGACTAAACAGCATGGCATATAAACTAATGAAAAATTTAAGTAAGATACAGCATACATGTATCTATATACCCCATAAGTTTCCATTTAATTATTTTTTATAATAGAAAGGAAAGGTGGTCATGCTGATCCTAATCTAGAGCAGCAACCATCAGTCAGTATGGGACCACTTCAACCAGTGGATGTCACTGCACAATCTCACACACCACAACCAACAATCACTGGATCACAATCATCTACTCCTACTACTGTCATTGAGCTCAGTTCAAAGGATGAAGTTGCTATCAATATTGGAAGTCTTCATTCTCGCTTTGCGTCTCTTGATACTAAAATCAGAGGAGAAATTACAAAAATTGTGCAAAATGTAAAGTTGAACTTATAGATATAGCTAGGAATGCAGCTGCTTATTTAAGCATTAAAGTATCCAGTTTGAAATATGGTGATGTTGATGAATTATTTGATTCTCTTCAGCCTCATTATGATTTCTTCAGTTGTGGTGTACTTAAACACTTGACAGACACTTACCTTTCAACTGCACAAACTGAACTAACTCAATACATTGATAGTGTTGATAAATTCTCAGAATCATCACAATTGAAGCACATACGATCAACAATCAAAGAGAAATTGTCATCATTACCACCAGCAGCCTCACCAAACACTAGCGATCAAGCAAAACCAGTTGTTATTAAACTGAATGACAGATGGGAAGAAATGACAATAAGTAAACTCAAGGCAGTCCTCAAGCATTACTTTGGAGTAACGTCAGATCTCTTCAGTCACATTAGCTTTGATTATGGTTCATTTGTTATTACACTGTTGGTACCAACCTCACTATCTCAGTCTATTATTGATTTAATCAATAAAAAAACAAACTCAATGGGTAGATTAGGAATATTGGAGGTGTCTGTTGACAAGGATACAATTCCTATCAGAAGAGAAGGTGATAACAATTTTGACATTTCGCTCCATGAATCAGTTAAAGTTGGTGATAGTTTTGAAGTATCAATGCTATTGCAGTTAGGAGCTGATCCTAACAGTAAAGATGAGAGAGGAAAGAGTGCAGTAGAGATAGCTGATGAAGGAGGACACACTCAAATAAAAGAAATACTATTAACTGCTGGAGGTGAGTTACTGTGTTGTGCAAAATTTTTAAGGGCTGTAAATTTTTCGGACTTTGAAGATTTACAAATGTTACTTCCGCAAAAATCATATTATAAGGGCCCAAGATGGCAGACGGTATAAATTCACGGAATTAAATCTGCGAAATAGATTTTTAGGCAAATTTGAGAAATTTACAGCCCTCAAAAATTTTGCGCTATACCAGAGGTGTATAGCCAGGGGGGCAAGGGGGCAAATTCCCCCAGGCCTTTTTTAAAAGCAAAGCAAACACACAGACAGGACAACTGCTTTACCCTCGACTAACGCCCTACACATGTCTCGGGTAATACTGCACTTTTCACTCCACTTGGATCACATTTGCGTGCTCCATAAACTGCATAATACATGCACAGTATGGAGGGGAGGGATTTACGGAACATGCAATGATCCAAGTGGAGTGAAAAACACAGTAATGCCTATGCGTGTCCCAGGTAATGACAGACAGACAAACTGAGTACCTAATCCTCGCCTACGCAAAGCTGGGCGAGACCATTAAGTGGGTACCTGGTTGTCAAACTTAATTAATAAACACCATAATAGAGTGGGTCAAATCATTAACTGATTGATATATTGTATAGAGAAGGATCAGTGGACACAATCATTGGATACACCAACAGCAGAATCTATTTATACAGCACGTATTGACTATCATGGAATAAGGAATGGTCATCTTTCATTCAGTGAGGGAGAGCAGCTGGAGATATATGAGAAGGATGATATTTTTTGGTGGAAAGGAAGATCCTTGGTGTCTGGTGATGAGAGAGACATTCCTAGTAGTTGTGTTTACTCAATGTTGGAGTCACTTCAATTGTTAGAGTTTATACTGTCAGTGGAAGAAGTGTCCCTTCCTATTCTACAGAAGATAAGGAATGATTCATCTAGTAATGATGAGAAAGCTTCTCTTTTCTTGGAGACTATTAATGATGATCCTATTATGATATCTGCACTGAGACAAGACAAGGAACAACATGATAAAGGTAATATTTGTAATTATTGTGACAGTCAGTATAATTATTAATGAACATGTAATGTCATGTGTATACATGATGCATAGTTGTGCAGTACAATTTGTGTTGTGTGTGTTTGTATATGCTGTATAATGTGAATATGTATTGTTATGTACAAACATACATGTATATAAGTATAATCCTTTGGTTTATATTAGGAGTCACTGGGAGTGTGGACTGGTACAGTGGCAGGGTAATCCTTTATTCTCCATCTCCAGTTCAGTGTAATGAAGTGATTAGTAATATTAATAATAATCATAAGGAGATTATACTTCGTTCATTATCTACTAATAGTACAGTATCTCTACTATCATCAACTAAACTGCATACACTAAACCTGAGGAGTCTTGAGATATTGTACACTCCATTAACTAATGATTGTATCCAGTACTTGTGTATACTACTAACTAATAATAAAACAATACAAGAACTAGTCATCAGGTTCCACTCCATTAGTGATAGAGGAGTTACTAATATCTGTCAAGCACTTGAACACAACTCTACACTTACCTCATTGGATCTTATAAATAATCCTCTCATCACTTCTACTAGTGGACAGGCTCTTTCTCACCTCCTCCTCAATAACTCATCACTAGTTGAACTGGATCTAAGGAAAACTTCATTGTCTACTGAGTCAATACCACTCATCCTCCAGTCACTAATGGATAATAAGAAGATAAGGAGACTCTGGCTAGACAATCGACATGAAGAGACTTGTATTAATACTTATCCTAACTATCACCTCATACAAGACAGAGTAGACTGGAAGCGCTGATCACTCTTCATGTGAACTTGTTTATCTTCACCAAGCGACCAATCAAAATCCAAACAATAAAAAATGGTTTTTTACATTATTTCAGTTACACTTTAAATTTTGTGTACTTAATATTGTGTACTGTTCTAAAAAAGCTAAATAGTGAAGTCA